TTTAACTTAAGTGTTTTTTAATTTTAATTTTTTAATTTTTTTTATTTTTTGAGAGAGGGAAAGAGAGATCACAAGCAGGGACGGGCAGAGGGAGAGGGAGGGTGAGAGAATCATAAGCAGGCACCACACCCAGTATGGAGCCTGCTGTGGGGCTCAATCTCGAGACTAACTGGGAGCTTATGACCTGAGCCAGATGCTTAACTGACTGAGCCACCCAGGCACCCTAATTTTAATTTATTTTTAACTGTGGTAAAATATACATGACGTAAATTTTACCACCTTAAGCATCTTAGGGCATTAAGTATGTTCACATTGTTCTGCAACTGTTATTACCATGCATCTCCCAGAACTCACTTTATCTCGGAGAACTGAAACTTTGCACCTATTAAGTAACTTCCCATTCCTCTCTCCCCACTGGCCCCTGGCAACCACCACTGTACTTTCAGTCTCTATGAATTTGACTACTGTAGGTACTCTCTAGTGGAATCATAGTATTTGTCTTTTGATGTCTGGCTTTTTTTTTTTTTAACACTTATCACAGTGTCTTTAAGATTAATCCATGCTGTAGCACGTGTCAGAATTTCCTTTTATTTCACCGTATGTATATATCACATTTTATTTTATTCTTTCATCCATTGGTGAACACTGGGTTGCTTTTACCTTTTGGTTATTGTGAGTGATGCTGCTAGTCTCTGCTTTCAGTTCTTTTGACTAAGAACCCAGAAGTAGAATTGCGGGATCATATGATCCATGTTGATCATATTTTAATTTTTTTGAGGAATTGCCCTGCTGCTTTCTTTAGTGGGTACACAATTTCACATTCCCACTAACAGTGCACAGGAGTTTGAATTTCTCCATATCCTTGCTAACTAACATTGATTATTTAATCCTAGGTTTAAGTGGACTTAGGTGCTATTTATTGAAGTGGAAAAAGGTGAGGTAGAGATAGGGAAAGAGGTTTGATTGACAGTAGGTAGGTAAAATCAAGAGTTCTGTTTTGGAAATGTTAAATTTGAAATTTCCAGTGGGCATTCACATGAAGATTTTCATTGGGCAGTTATATATGGTTATATGAGTTGAAAATACAGGGAACCAAGAGAGTAGGGTTTTAAGAACCTTAAGGCACTTATCACATTTACTTTTTACTATTTGCACGTAGTCCTGTTTCCTATGTTAGATGGTAAACTCCCCATGGACACTTTTATGCATCTTTGTATTCCTCACATTTAATAGCCTAGAATTGCCTGGCATGAGTATTCAAAGAGTTTTTTTTCCATACAAGCACTATTGGACACTGTCTGTGCTCTAGGAATATAAGAATAAATTATACAGGGTTGGTGCAATATGGAATGGAAAATAATTGAGGTGGTTTCATACAGAATGATATGATGGAATAAGTACCACAAAAGAGGCACACACACCTTGGTAGAGGATTAGTTCTGTGGAGGGAAAACAGATGTAGGATCAGGAAAGGTTTTATGTAGTTGACTTTTGAGTTTTGCTTTGAAGGATTAGTAAGATAGGCAAGATGGAATAAAAAATGAGGTCATTCCTGGCTGAGAGAATACTAGGAACAGATGCAAAGAGGTGTAAAATACAGTGTGTAATGTTTGAGAAAGAAGTCTTACAGTGTAAAGGAATAGCAAAAATGAGCCTAGTTTCTAAGCCATGCAAGGGTGTTAGCTCTCTTTTGTTGACTCATGGAAAGGTAGGTTGAACTTTAAAAAGTATACAGTGATGATCAGGTTTTCATTTTGGAAAAATAATTTTGATGAAGCATTGGCTAGAATAATAAGACTAATGGAAAGAAGTTTGATTGGTGGCTATTATAATAATTGCAACTATGATGTTGAGTGCCTGAAGGGCCCTGGAAAATGTTACAGAAAGAAACAGCATTTGGAATTATTGCAGATAATTTGTGATAAGTGTCACAAAAATAAACATGAAAGAATGTTTTGGTTCTCTTCAAAATAGAACACATTTTAAAAAATCTCTATAACTTTGTTTATACTGGTGTATACCTGGTTTATGCTGGTGTCTGGAATGTCCTTTTCTCTCCTTGTTGCTTTTGCCTTTTATTTAAAGCTCATCTTTATGCTCTGGCTCTCTATTGTTTTTGTTTTTGTTGTTGTTTTTATTTTTTGTTTTTATTTTTGAAGAGGTCACAGTCATCTTTGCTTCTACTCAGCTATGATAGCACATGCATTCTTATGTAGTAATTATTTTATCTATTGCTGCATAACAATTATAAACTTTGCAGTTTATTTTAATTTTTTTAAAGTTTTACTTAAATCTAAGTTAGTTAACATATAGTGTAATAATGGTTTCAGGAGTAGAATTTCGTGATTGATCACTTACATATGACATTCAGTGCCCATCCCAACAAGTGCCCTCCTTAATACACATTGCCCCTTTACCCCATCTCCCCAGCCAACACCCCTCCAGCAACTCTGTTTGTTCTCTGTATTTAAGAGTCTCTTATGGTTTGTCTCCCTTTCTGTTTTTATCATATTTTTGCTTCCCTTCATCTATGTTCACCTGTTTTATTTCTTAAATTCCACATATGAGTGAAATCATATGGCATTTGTCTTTCTCTGAGTGATTTATTTTGCTTAGCATAATACTTTCTTGTTCCATCCACATTCTGGCAGATGGTAAGATTTCTTTCCTTTTGATCGCTAAGTAATATTTCATTGTGTATATTTATCACATCTTCTTTCCATTCATCAGTTGATGGACATTTGGGCTCTTTCCATAATTTGGCTATTGTTGATAGGGCTGCTGTAAATATTGGGATGTATTAAAGGTGTGCCCCTTTGAGTCATCATTTTTATATCCTTTGGATAAATACCTAGTAGCACAATTTCTGGGTCATAGGGTAGCTCTATTTTTACGTTTTTGAGGAGCCTCCATACTGTTTTCCAGATTGACTGCACAAATTTGCATTTCCTCTAACAGTGCAAAAGCGGTCCCCATTCTCCACATCCTTGCCAACACCTGTTGTTTCCTGAGCTGTTAATTTTAGTCATTCTGATAGATGTGAGGTAGTATGGTGGTTTTGATTTCTGTTTCCCTGATGATCTATGATTTTCTCTTTCATGTGCCTGTTAGCCATCTGGTTGTCTTCTTTGGAAAAGTGTCTGTTCATGTCTTTTGCCCATTTCTTCACTGGATTATTTGTTTTTTGGGTGTTGAGTTTGGTAAGTGCTTTATAGGTTTTGGATACTAACCATTTATCAGATGTCATTTGCAAGTATCTTCTCCTATTCTGTCAATTGTCTTTTAGTCTTGTTTTAGTTTTAGTTGTTTCCTTCACTGTGCATAAGGTTTTTAACTTAGTGATGAAGTCTCAATAGTTCATTTTTGCTTTGCCTCCAGAGTCATGTGTAGTAAGAAGTTGCTGTGGCCTAGGTCAAAGAGGTTGTTGCCTGGTCTCATTTAGGATTTGGATGGTTTCTTGTCTCACATTTATATCTTTCATCCATTTTCAGTTTATTTTTGTGTATGGTGTAAGATAGTGAGTGGTCCAGGTTTGTTCTTTTGCACGTCACTTTCCACTTTTCCCAACACCATTTGCTGAACAGACTGTCTTTTTCCATTGGATATTCTTTCCTGCGTTGTCAAAGATTAGTTGGCATACATTTGTGGGTCCATTTCTGGTCTTTTTTTGTGGAAGTACCATAGGTTTTTTTTTTTTTTTTAAGTTTATTTATTTATTTTGAGAGACAGCATGGGAGGGGCAGAGGAAGAGGGAGAGAGAGATTCTCAAGCAGTCTCCATGCTGTCAGTGCAGAGCCTGACCTGAGTCTTGATGGCACAAACTGTGAGAACATGACCTGAGCCAAAAATCAAGAGTCAGATGCTCAAGCAATCAAGCCACCCAGGCACCCCAGCACCATACTGTCTTGATGATTACAGCTTTGTAATACAGCTTGAAGTCTGGAATTGTGATGCCTCCAGCTTTCTTTTTTTTTTTTCCAACATTACTTTGGCTATTTGGGGTCTTTTTATGGTTCCATACAAATTTTAGCATTGTTTGTCCTGACTCTTTGAAGAATGCTGGTGTTAATTTGATAGGGATTGCATTGAATGTGTACATTGCTTTGGGTGGTGTAGACATTTTAACAATATTTGTTCTTCCATTCCGTTAATGTGGAATGTTTTTCATTTCTTTGTGTCTTCAATTTCTTTCATGAGCTTTTTATAGTTTTCAGTGTAGAGATCTTATATCTCTTTAGTTAGGTTCATTCTTAGTTATTTTATGACTTTTGGTACAACTGTAAATGGGGTTGATTCTTGATTTCTCTTCTTCTTTATTGGTGGATAGAAATGCAACTGATTTCTGTATGTTCATTTTATATCCTGCATCATTGCTGAATTAATGTATCAGTTCTAGCAGTTTTGTGGTAGAGTCTTTTGGGTTTTCCAAAGAGAGTATCATGTCTTCTGGGAAGAGCGAACATTTGACTTCTTCCTTGCCAATTTGTATGACTTTTATTTCTTTTTTTTGTTTGACTGCTGAGGCTAGGGCTTACAGTACTGTTTTCTTTTTTTTTTTTTTTTTAATTTTTTTTTCAACGTTTATTTATTTTTGGGACAGAGAGAGACAGAGCATGAACGGGGGAGGGGCAGAGAGAGAGGGAGACACAGAATCGGAAACAGGCTCCAGGCTCTGAGCCATCAGCCCAGAGCCTGATGCGGGGCTCGAACTCCTGGACCGCGAGATCGTGACCTGGCTGAAGTCGGACGCTTAACCGACTGCGCCACCCAGGCGCCCCTACAGTACTGTTTTCAACAACAGTGTTGAGAGTGGACATTTCCTGTCATGTTCCTGACCTTAGTGGGAAAGCTTTTCCCCATTTAGGATGATATTAGCTGTGCGTCTTTCATATATGGCCTTTATGATGTTGAGGTATGTTCTTTTTATTCCCACTTTCTTGAGAGTTTGTATCAAGAACGGGTACTGTATTTTGTCAAGTGCTTTTTCTGCATCCAATGAGAGGATCATGTGGTTCTTATCCTTTCTTTTAATAGTGTGATGTATCATGCTGATTGATTTGCAGATATTGAACCACATCTGCAGCCGAGGAATAAATCCCACTTGAATGTGGTGAATGATTCTTTTAATGTATTGGATTTGATTTGCTAGTATCTTGTTGAGAAGTTTTGCATCCATGTTCATCAGGCATATTCGTCTGTAATTCTCCTTTAAAAAAATTTTTTTTAGTGTGATTGTAAAAAATTGTGTGTACAAAGACAATTGATACTTAAAAAATTTTTTTTAATGTTTACTTATTTTTGAAGGAGAGACAGAGCTTGAGCAGGGAGGGGCAGAGAAAGAGGGGGACACAGAATCCAAGCAGGCTCCAGGCTCTGAGCTGTCAGCACAGAGCCCAACGTGAGGCTCCAACCCACAAACTGTGACACCATGACTTGAGGTGAAGTTGGATGCTTCTCTGACTGAGCTACCCAGGTGCCCTTTCTCCTTTTTAGTGGGGTCTTTGTCTGTTTTTGGAATCAAGGTAATGCTGGCCTCATAGAATGAATTTGGAAGTTTTCCTTCCATTTCTATTTTTTTGGAACAGCTTCAAAAGAATAGTATTAACTCTTCTTTAGATATTTGGTAGAATTCCGCTGAGAAGCCATTTGGCCCTGGATTCTTATTTGTTGGGAGATTTTTGATTACTCGTTTTGCATCTCTTCAAATTTTCTGTTTCTTCCTATTTCAGTTTTGGTAGTTTATATGTTTCTCAGAATTTATCCATTTCTTTCATATTTCCTGATTTGTTAGTATATAATTACTCATCATGTTCTCTTATTTTTTTTAATTTTTTTAATTTTAAATGTTTTATTTGTTATTTAATTTTAAATGTTTTATTTGTTATTTATTTTGGTTAAGTCGGCCACTTAACCAACTGAGCCACCCAGGCACCCCAGTGTTCTCTTATTATTGTTTGTATTTCTGTGGTATTGGTTGTGATCTTTCCTCCTTCATTCATGATTTTATTTATTTAGGTCCTTTCCTTTTTCTTTTTGATTAATCTGGCTAAGGATTTGTCACTTTTGTTATTTGTTTCAAAGAACCAGTTCCTAGTTTCATTGATCTGGTTTTTTTTTTTTTTCCTTTTTTTTTTAATATTTGTTTATTTTTGAGAGAGAAACAGAGAGACAGAGAGAGACAGAGAGAGAGAGACCGAGACTGAGACAGAATGCAAGTGAGGGACAGGCAGACAGAGAGGGAGACACAAAATCCGAAGCAGGCTCCAGGCTCTGAGCTGTTAGCCCAGAGCCTGACCTGGGGCTCGAACCCATGACTCGTGAGATCATGACCTGAGCTGAAGTCAGACATTTAACTAACTGAGTCACATTTTTTTTTTTTTTTGTAATTTCAGTATCATTGATTTCTGCTATTTTTTCTTTTCTGCTGGTTTTGGGCTTTATTTGCTCTTTTTTTTCCAGTTTTTTTTAGGTATCAGGTTAGGTTGTTTATTTGAAACATTTCTTCCTTCTTTAGGAAAGCCTGGATTGCTATATACTTCCCTCTTATGACTGCCTTTGCTGCATTCCAGATGTTTTAGACTGTTATGTCTTCATTTTCATTGGCTTCCATGTCCTTTTTTATGTCTTAATTTCTTGGTTAACGAATTCATTCTTTAGTAGGATGTTCTTTAATCTCTAAGTATTTGTGGTGTTTCAAATTGTTTCTTATGGTTGATTTCAAGTTCCATAGTGTTGTGTTCTGAAAATATGCATGGCATATAGTCTCAATCTTTTTGTACTTGTTTAGGGCTGATTTTTTGACCCAGGATGTGATGCATTCTGGAGAATATTCCATGTGCACTTAGAAGAATGTGTATTCTGCTGCTTTAGGATGAAATTTTCTGAATATATCTGTTAAGTCCATCCAGTCTAGTTTGTCATTCAAAGCCATTGTTTCCTTATTGATTTTCTGCTTAGATGATCTGTCCATGGTTGTATGTGGGGTATTAAGGTCTCCTGTAATTATTGTATTATTATCTTTGAGTTCCTTTATGTTTGTGATTAACTGATTTATATATTCAGGTACTTCAAAATTGGAGGTATAAATATTTAAAATTGTTAGGTCTTCTTGGTGGATAGACCCCTTAATAACGGTATAATGCCCTTCTTCATCTCTTGTTACAGTCTTTGTTTTAAAATCTAGTTTGTCTGATATAAGTATAGCTACTCTGGCTTTCTTTTGACGTTCATTAGCATTGTAGATGGTTCTCCATCCCCTGCTTTGAATCTGCAGGTGTCTTTAGGTCTAAAATGAGTCTCGTAGACAAGATATAGATAGGTTTTTTTTAATCCATTCTGATACCCTTATGTCTTTTTATTGGAACCTTTAGTCCATTTACAAATTTGAGTGACTACTGAAAGATACAAATTTAGTGTCATTGTGTTGCCTGCAGATTTGGTGTTTCTGGTGATGTTCTCTGGTCCTCTCTAGTGTTTGTCGCTTTTGGTCTGTTTTGTTTTATTTATGTTTTCTCCATTCAAAGAGTCCCCCTTAAAGTTTCTCGTAAAGCTAGGTTAGTGGTCACAAACTCCTTTGGTTTTTGCTAGTCTGGGACACTCTTTATCTCTCCTTCTATTTTGAATGACAGCCTTGCTGGATAAAGAATTTTTGGCTGTGCATGGTTTTGCAATTCAGCATGTTGAATATATCCTACCACTCCTTTCTGGCCTGCCAAGTTTCTGTGGAAAGATCTGCTGCATACCTAATCTGTCTTTCCTTGTATGCTAAAGGAAAGGAAAGGAAATCTGTCTTTCCTTGTATGCTTGGTGCTTTCACAATTTTTTCCTTGTCTGTGTATTGTGTGATTAGACTATGGTATGTCTTGGTGATGGTTGGTTTTTGTTGAATCTAATGGGAATTCTGTGTTCTTCTTGGAATTTGATGTCTGTGTCCTTCCCCAGATTAGAAAAGTTTTTAGCTATAATTTGCTCACATAAATCTTAAGCCCTTTTTTCTCACTCTTCATCTTCTGGGACTTCTGTGATACAAATGTTATTTCTCTTTAATAAGTCACTGAGTTCTCTAAGTCTTGTATTGTGATCTTTTGCCTTTGTTTTCATCTTTTTTTTTCCTGCTTCATTATTTTCCATAATTTTGTCTTCTACCTCACTGATTCACTGTTCTCCTTTGTCCATCCTTGCTCATGGCATCCATTCAAGATTGCATCTCAGTATAGCATTTTAAATTTTGGCCTGACTAGATTTTATTTCTTTTATCTCTGCAGAAAGGGATCCTCTGCTATCTTCCATGGTTTTTTCAACCCTAGCTAGTATTTTTATAATTGTGGGTTTGAATTTTAATTCAGACATCTTAATTTTATCTGTGTTGATTAAATCCATGCCATTATTTCTTCCTGTTCTTTCTTTTTGGGTGAATTACTCTGTCCTGTCATTTTGGAGGAAGAAAAAAATTAATAAAATAAAAATTTTAAAAATTAAAAACAAAACCAAATCAAATAAAGGAAGCTAGATCCTAGGTGTGTTTCAGGCTGCTTGTTGAGAGAAGCTTCACAGAAAAGAGAAAAAAGAGAAAGGGGAAAAACAAGTTTAAAAATTTTTAATTAAAAAAATTTTTTTAATTTATATTTGAGAAAGAGAGCATGAGCAGGGGAGGGACAGAGAGGGGGACAGAAGATTTGATGTGGGTTCCATGCTGAGAGCAGCATTCTCAATGCGGGGCTCAAACTCATGAACAGCGAGATCATGACCTGAGCTGAAGTTGGACATATAACAAACTCAGCCACCCAGGAGCTCCCCCCAAAATTTTTTAAATAATGAAAAAAAATAAAATAAAATAAAGAAAATAAAATAGTATAAAATAATATAAAAGAAATTAACTCTTTCTGTACCTAAGAAAAGGAAAAGAAAAAGATAATATAAGTAAAAACAGAGACAAAGAAAATGAACAAATGAACAAGCAAACGGAATGAGATCCAAATGAAGTTTCATCCAGTTTACCATAGAGCAAACTTTGTAACACACTGTAGTCTGTACACTAAGCAGGTGGAAAGGATTTGTGCTGGTCTTTGAGGGCTGTGCCTAAACGGTGCAGGTGGGCAGGGTTTGGTTTAACAGCTATATTCTCTGCTTGGTGGCCCTGCTTATTAGCTCACTGGGGTCGATTTCTGTGTGTGCATGTGCGCGTTTGTAAAGGTGAAATGGCTTCAACTAGCTCTCTAGTCTTTGGCACATGAATTTCTTGCCCTCACAGACATGTGATCAAACACCTCTCCTTTGTCTCAGGCTTCTGTCTGCTTCCTGCCTTTACCCTGTCTGTGTCCAAGGTGTCTGCTTGCCAGGTGGCTCCTTCCTCCAGAGTTTTATCTCAGATGGGGCTGTGTTTCAAAACCCCAACCTTCAGAGTTCCTCATATCTTGGACCTGCGCTGATTCTCTGGGAGAGGGTCTTGAGCAATGACTGGGTGCCAGCTTGTCTGTGAAAACATTCACAAGATCACATAGTAGCACAGGGTATTGTCTTTCTCCCCATCTAAAATACAGGGAAAGCTTGTCTCCAGTGTTTAGCCTCGCCTTTATCATACAGTAGATGTTGCGTAGATATTTGACAGTGATTCAAAAGATAGAGGGGGATTATATACAAGTATGTTAAAAGATCAGAGCAAGTACTCCAAATTCATATTCTGTTATAGTCTAGATGTGAAATGATTAAAGCTTGATTTTTAGGACATTGGCTGTGAAATAATTAAACCTGGAAATATTATGTAGTGAAATACATTAATTAAACCTGGAAGTATTACATAGGAAATACATTATTTAAACCTGGAAATATTACATAGGAAATACTGACAGTATTTGCTGATTGATTAGGGGCGAAGGTGATAGGGAAGAAGGAGGAGATGAGAATAACTTTGAGGTTGCTTGGTTGGGGACTAGGAGGTTGATGTACCTTTGACTAATCAATTAGTGTTTGAGTGCTATGAGGCAATATATTGATGTTAATTCACGATGTGGTTTTTGGTCTCTAAAGAGAAACTAAGAAGC